CTTGCTTGCTTAATAGTTAAAGGGATAATAACTCTTCGTATGAGGTCTATATTTCACAATAAAAACATTGAGAATAACTCACAGAATTATAATATATTCTGTTTTATGACAAAAACAGCAGTTATAGCTATTATTCTGATATCTGAGCTTGTCTTCAGACCACGTGACCTCCATTTAAGGCTATACTCTGTTATAATCTCTTAGGAGATTTTAACATAAAACCAAACTTTTTAGAAAAAAACCAGGGACTAACTTTGAATGTAAAAATGGATTCATTAACCACTGGTAAGTATGGGAAAATTCATTTTTTTTGCCAAAATGAAGCGTTATTATCCCTTTAGGTTATCAATTTCTATTTCTCCCTACTTTACAATAGGTATATTAATACTGGTTCCTACTGAATATGCGTCTTGTCATTCCAGACTTTATTTAATTTTAATATATCATGTTGTTTCAATTCAATTATACAAAAAAAGAAAAAAGCTGCATTCTTCTGAGCGTCCAATCTTGAAGGCAGTTTTTGCATCTACGTTTTGTCAGAATTGGTTCCTGCTGAATAATGTTTTTGAATGGCCAACCTAATTTGAATTGTTTTATTTTGAATAAATAAATAAATAAATAAATAAATAAATAAATAAAGACAACTGAATCATGTTCTGGGTAGTGAAGACTGTCCATCTCCTTTATAGTAGTTGTTGAAGTTTAACCTTAAAAGCAGCTCCTGTAGATGTTGTTGGTACCCACGCAATGCCAGCTTGTTTACAACTAAAAAAAAAAAAGAAATAAAACAGATCAGGAAAAGACATTTCACAGAAACAATCCAAAAGATGACAGAATACAAATAAGGTAGGTCAAGCTTGCTAAAATAATACAGCAAAACCGATATAGTTTAAACAATATGGTGAATCTTTAAAAAGTTAGACAAAAATTAAACTTTGTTTTAAAGTTGTAAACAAATACACACAAAACAGCTAAAATCTGGAGCATTTTTTCACACCAACCTTTGAAGAGGAAAGTAGAGAACTCCTTGAACTGTTCGTAACTGTGCACCATGTGACTTTGTGCAGGGTGGTAGAGGGACCCACTTTCCGGGTCACGTTGCCATGGATATGACACTAACTGGGTACGAAACTTCAGAATGAGGCAAAAGATGTCTTGTATAATCTTCATGACTGGTTTTGCCTTAGTTGTTAACAAGCATCTGAATATGTAAAATAACAGAAAATACTGTATCTCAGTAATATCTCAATAAATAAATAAATAAATAAATAAATAAATAAAAATATGAAAATAAATTTAAAAATAGACATAAAATAATGGATAAAACAAAATTGTCACAAAATGAGGACTTTATGTCTCTTGTATTCAGTGATTCATTTTAAATTAAAGATGAAGAAAAGCAGACTGCAGGGATTGTTGTAGAATCCATTGGTTACACTGTACTCCATGATGCCCGGTTCTTAATACTGTCTTTACGGTCTTTCTATATTTTAGTTAATATTCTGCACACAGATTATAACGACCCAAGTCACAAATGCATAAACAAGTAAAATGAAAGCTCCCAGAAAAACTATTATTTTAAATAATGTTAGGGAAAATTCTCTTGTTAATCATTCATCACATGTTTCCAGACTCCATGTACAAATGTATTCTTGTCACACAGTCTGGAATGCAACCTCCATATTCTTATCATGCCTGTGCATACATCATTTGAACAGTTTGTCTGTTCATTGCTCTCACAGTGTGCCTATCTCGGCAAGGGGAGAGACCTAGAGCAAAGTTGTGAAATCAGTACAATCAAAAATATAGTTTGAAAGCAAAACAGAGCAATCAATTAAGCTGATAGCATTTCTTGGTACAGAAAAGTCATTTGTTTCATTTTGTGACCCATAAAAAAAGGAACTAAGCCAAGAACACACAACTGGAAAAAAAATGGACCAAATAAAATGAACTGTGTTACAACTTTTAAATCAAGCCAATTCTACTCTTAATCAATGAATGAAAAAATTGTTTGGTTTAAAAAATTCTCATAGACACCAAAATCTGACCAAAACACAACTCTGAACTTTTTCAAAAGCTGCCTAAACCAAACTGTCAACAAGTTGTCGACCACAATATTCCTGTGTCCACATTACTTGATCCATTTTCTCCAGTGTAAACATGATATGTACAATGTGCCTCCTACTTAAGTCAACATTTCACCAGGTTGCTTATCAGTAGGGAGGTACCAGGTAAGGGGAACACTTCACAGGTAAGCTGCATAGGGTGATATAGGACAGGGATCGCCAGGAAATATACACCTAGATGAGGTTATTGCAATCAACTTAACTAATCACACTCTCTTCATAGTGCAAAAATTGCTAAAGTTTTTTTCGTTTTTTAATATATAAGCAATTCAATGAAAGAGGGTTATCTCGGGGGGAGGTAACAGTAATGAGAAGTAGACTTTTAGTCCAGGAAATTGGTGAAAAATTGTGCATTTTTTACCTACAAGCATGAAATTTGGCACACTTATGGACAATAAAATTCTAAGCAAATTTGGATATATGGGCATGTCTGAAAATTCCAAAATGGCCGTCAAATCCAATATGGCCACCAAAATACCTTTTCAAATTAAAACTTCAAGTACATAGTGTTCTAATGACTTAAAATATCATATAAAGGTTAGAAAACACCATGGTATGAATCCTTCAGGTGTATTAAATCCAAAATGGCCGCCAAAAGTAAAAAAAGCAGACCATTTATTCAAGATATCCATTTGAATGGAGAATTCATCAAGCACTTAAAACTACAAG